TCTCTCTCTCTCTCTCTCTCTCTCTCTCTCTCTCTCTCTCTCTCTCTCTCTCTCTCTCTCTCTTAATATATAATAATAAAAATAATATTATAATAATAATAAAATACAATAATGATAATTGTGACGGTAATTGTGTCGCTATGTGATAAAAAGCGGGACGCTTCAGGTTCGCGAAATCGATAGCGCTTGCGAATAACCAGAGCAACAATATGCGTGGTGGAGGAGAGAGTGATATATAGTCAATGAAATTCCAAGTCAACAGTCCGCTGTGAGAGGACAGCTAAGTGCTATTGTTCGTGGCAATACTGAACGTAAATTAAATAGTAATGAAAACACAAAGGAAAGGAAAGAAAAGAGCGTTGTCGCGCTTAAAGATATAATAATAATGTTAATAAAATAATGATGATGTGATAATAATAATAATAATAATAATAATAATAATAATAAAAGACCACATCTCTCTAACTATATGCAATATATTAACGTAATTGACAATATACGACGAGATGCACCGTATTCCTTGCTGCGACCGTCAATCATCTTCCGGATCGGCGCGGCTCTGCCATCCTCTCTCGCCCCGCAAAAAATCATTTATAAAGTATCGAGTACTCGCCGATATATGTATATGTATACATATATGTATTGTGTACATTAAAATAAGAACACTGATCATTACCGTGGACTAACCGGTACCTGTTTCCGTTCGTCGAGAAATACTATTTACAGTATGTACGCGGAGAAGAGCGGCTCTCGGGGGGAGGAGCGCGACGGAGTTATCGTGGGACGAGTTGTCGGAGATTATACGCGAGAATTAAATATCGAGGACTCCGATCGCGAATCTATTTACAACAATGCTGCGGACATCATCGAGCGCTCCCCCGGCGTTTAACCATCGGACGGGCGCGTTCTGTGACGTGAACGACCTGATACGCGCGATATTTCTGCCCGACGACGTCGAACGCTAAACTAAGCCCCGCTTCGACGTACAAAAAATCGCAACGAGCGAGCTGGAGGAGGAATCTCACGAATGTTCTCTTTTTCTTTTCTTCTTTCTTTTCCTTGACCTCCACGGATTTACCGATACTTTCGTGATAATTGTCTCCCAACTCGTAATTTCTAATCACTTTTCTTCTTCTCTCTCTTGTTATTGTACGTTGCCAAAATGTCAACCTATACGGAAAAAATTAGTACAATTAAAGACTCATATTCTCTCTACATGAAAAAAATATAGTCTCAGTAAAAATATATCAAGAATAATTTTCATAAATTAAGAAGAAATATAACAAGAAAAAATATTGGATAGAAAAAACGATATCTTCAAATTGATATAATTTTTACTTCCAAGATATATTGTTCTTTCAAAGTATAATATTTTTTCCTCAATTTATGAAAATTATTCTTGAATGACATTCCAGTAAACAAAGAACATTAAATCAACATCTTAGAATGTTAATTTTATGCGTAACTGTTGAACGTCGTTTCATTTGATATTCTAAAAATATTTCCAAAACATTCATCAAATAATATGACCCTCGTATTAATTATTCGTAATGATGTTGATACAACTTTAAAAGGTATATAATAAAAAAACGTTACAAGCTACTAAATATCGTTGTAAAAGACTTTCGTCAATGATTTTCTGCTCACTGAGATGAATGTATTTTTAATGGAACTATATAGAATTTCTTCATATAAGAGCAAATTTTATCTCCATATCAGATTATATGTTATCGTCATATAAGATTATATATTGCTTATATACGAACGAAAGAACATAAACTTTAAATTGATACTAATTTTTTATAAATATATAATTTTTTACAATCATATGATAATTAAATGCGTACACATAAGCTAATTTTTACGTTTCTGACTTTTACATTTCTGACGTGTGATTTTTGCATAAATGATTATGCAAAATTTATCAAATGATTATTTTACATAAATGATTTTCACGTTTTTGAAACTAAAGAAAATCTTCCTTACGATTGTGTTTTGCCGGTGTTACAATTATAAAACAAATCCGTTTCACGCGTCTCTTCGGCATTTCTTTGCGCCGCTCCGTTTAGGTCCTCCGATTGTCAGGATCGACATTCGCGGTTTGCGGTGAGTCGCGAGTTCCTTCGTAAGAGAGATGCCTTTCCGAGGGTCCCTCGACATTTGGCCACGCTCGAAGGATTCATCGGCGCGCTCGTTTTGCATTCCGTCGCGCTCGCCCGAGATTAAGCGCGGTCGCGCTTCGAGGTCGCGCCTCTCGTCGACCCCGAAGCGCCTTCCGAGACCGACGGCAGCAACGTGAACAACAAGCGTGAAGCGTTAGTCGTATTTACATATGTACACATGCCTCCTCTAATCTATCATACAATCTATCATATAATCTATGATACAGGTCGATACGGAAAGACCGGACTTGTCCGTCGTCATTGGGCGATCCGGCGAGCGCGACGCAGTGACGGTCTTCGAGTAACACACCAGCAGGCTTGCACTCCGCAACCCAACTCGACGGGAAGAACAACATTTAATTAATCAATCATGATAGAGCAATCTTTGCTTTATTTTTCCTGATTGGTCAATTAAACGCTAGTTTACCCGTTGAGTAAGATTTTGAAACGCAGCTCAGATGGATCGCACAAAAGCCATTGAAGAAGACTCAATCGTAACCGTGAGGCCGTAAGCAAACTGACCAACCACAATCGAACATTCTTAAACTGTAAGAATAGTCAGTTGTGACTGGTCAATTATTAGCACACGGCCTTACGGTTGCAACTGAAGTGTTTTCGCACGCAACGGCCTTTGTGCGTGGAAACCGCGAGTAATCCACGAGCCCGAATTTCCCGGAACTTCTCGGGGACTCCTGAGGACTCCCGAGACGGTCGGGGGACGACATACTCGGGAAACTCGAGAACTTTCCGAACCGCCCATCCGGTGGTCAACGCGAACTCACCGTCATTGCGTGTCAAAGAGATAAAATCCCTTTCCGGTCTCCGGTCGGCGCGCGGAGCACCGTAAGTTAAATCCTCCCTCCCCCTCCCCCCGCGAGCCGTGCTTCCCCGCAAAAGCGAAGACGACGGAAGGAACGATCTGGCCGGGCGGGATAGCAGCGATGCCCGATGCCAAGCGGTTTCTACCACCTTAGAATTGCACGAAACCCCGTTTTGTCTTTGTATCGAATGTGTGAGTGTGCGCCTGTGTATATGTGTGTACACGTATGCGTTTGCGAGTGTATACACGTGATACATACGAGTGTACCGTGCATGCGTGAGTGCGTGCGTGTATGACCGGTGCATATGCCCCTCCTCCTGATTCTCCTTGCTCCCCCCCCCCCCTTACCCTGTCCCTTTCCCGAAAAAAAGAAAAAAAACACCATAGTGCGCGAGTGCGGAAAGCGGAGTCCGTCCATTGTGTGGAGGAGCGACTGCGAGAAAAAACAAAGAGACCTTAATGTCGCTCTTATCATATCACAGATCACCCGAAGTGCGCGTTGGTTGGGGACTTACTTGTTATATATATGTGTGTGTGTGTGTGTGTGTGTGTGTGTGTGTGTGTGTGTGTGTGCACACACGGAGAAAACAAAATTTGGCTGGAAGAGCAAATTGTTCGTCAATATAGTGGCAAGGCGAAAAAGTTTGTCGCACGGTAAGAATAATTTTGTCGCTTACAGCGAAACGTCGTTGCGTGACAGCGATAAAATTTAGTCAGCACAACAAAGCATAGCGCGCGAAATTATTACTCTGCTGTCCGTATATTCAACAAATGTCAATTGATACTCTCAACAAATCTTTCCGCTGTCCGAGCAATTTTTTCTTGCCCTCACTATATTAAACAAACAGTTTGCCGTTTTGGCAAAGTCTTCTTCTCCGTGCGAGTGTGCGCGTGTGTGTGTATGTATGTATATATTTAACGCGTATATAGAGACTATGTGAACACGAGAACGTCTCCGCGGAGAGGTCAGCGTTCCTACCACCGTTCTACAGCAGGCTCCCCCCCCCCCTCCGCCGAGGAGCAACGCGTCCGAGAACCGCGGAAGGCCCCGGTCGAGGCTCCGGTCATCCAGGAACTCGGACGCGCGCGCGCGTCACCCGTCGAGTCGGTAAGCAAACGTAACTCGCCGTACATCTCTGAGAAAAAAGTCTTCCGTGCGATCGCGCTCTGTCTCTCGTCTTCGGCCCCGGCGGGGCCGATTCGGCATTCCTGAAACGTTCGATCCGAGTCTTCGGGTCCGCTCGATGTCGCGCCACCAGCCCGGTCGTTTAATATTCTATCGCGTGTAACCTGTACATACGAGTGCGTGCGTACACCGCGTGTGGGCACGGAGTGGAAAAAGGACTCGGCTCGTCCACCGAGCTGAGGGAAGATCAGACGACCCTTCTGTCATCGCGATCGAAGAAACGTATGTGCGAACCGAAATGGTTTCGGTGCCGCGTTAGAACGCGAGCCGAGGTCGAACGAAAAACCTGTAGGGATTTTCTTCCGGTCCTCAGGCTACCGAAATTCAGGTACACGTAACCGAGTTGTTTTTCCACATGGTGCCTGTGTATGTGTGTGTATGTGTGTCTACATGTGTGTCGTGAAATGCGTGCACGGAAAGGAAAACTCAGTTCCTGCAACCGAACGGGAACACCAGATGAGAACTCGACGTGACGAGAAGTGAAAATTCGCTGGCGAGGAATGATGTATTTCTCTGTTACCGCGTTAACGAACACATCCGTGTACGGAAAGAAAATTCGGTCGAATCTACCGGAATTTCGAGAAAGATGTATTATTCAAAATCAAATTTCAGACAAAAATTGTAAGATTTCATGGTAGGCGTATAATTCCATTGGAAAAATTAAAGTCGAGCTTAGAGTAACGTTTAAAAGATAGTTCAATAATTTAATAATATTTAAATAGCAAAGAAGCAATTTTTTCCAGAAAAACCCAATTTTTTGTAAGGACTGTTTTATTTGCCTTCTCAGCAATGAAAAACCGGTTTTCTTATAACCTAAATTCGTGTAACCAGCAATTCCTTTGGCGAAAACGCGTTTGTCTCGCGTTCACTGTCTGGTAAATTCAAGCAAGCTCATCTTCCCATACGTGAACATTCAGTTGTATCAGTCGCGTTATCAAGACAACCCGGTCATCGAGACAACTGAAAGAATTGACCGAGCAGAGAGTCGCTCGAGGAATCTGCCCGCTCCCACAATCGAGTTTCCGTCTGGTCCCCCGGGCAAGGGAAAACTCCGAGTTACACCGACGGAGCTGTTTTTCCCACGTGCACGTCGTACGAGCATGGATGCGCGTCTATATGCATGCATGCGCTCCCAATATGCAGAGAGTTGCGGCCGTGTCTGGTAAAACTAACTTTGTTCTAGGATTTGTCTTTAAATTAAATCCGCTAGATACGTTAAATACGCAATAAAACTATAGAGGGAAGAAACGCCCGGAAAAATCGGACGGACCGTCCGACGATCGTCCGACGCGGTGCCCCGGGTGGAAGAGAGAGGATCCCGTGGTGCCGTGTGTCGGGTTCGTTTGTAACTCGAGCCGAAGCCCAACAAACCTCGCATTGTTTTTCCTCCGAGTTCCACGACCACGTACACCACAAACGGGAAGAAACTGCACGGTCGCTTTTTCTCGCCGGCGCTGTAGCCGCACCGTAGGAGAGAGAAGAACGACATGACGGGCTCGACACACCCGTACACCGCGCATCGGGACGGAGAGGTCTTCGAGATACAGTGTGAGAATCGATTTCCCGATTGATTGCACGAAGTGTATGCGCGCCACGGCGACGTTCGCAATCGCGCGATTTCGGCCGCTCTGCGGCTCTAAAGTCTCTCTCCTCCTCCCTCCACCTCTCATTCTTATCTCTATCCTCATCCGCTTATTTTCTACGCCTGCTCCCTAACTCATCTCGGGCTGAGCGGCTTCGTGCGAGAAGTATCCGCATTACGTGCGTTCCACAGCGAAGCATCGCGCAGGCCTCGTAGCGCTAACGCGGAGGGGCTTCTTCCCGCGCAGGCTTTCCTCGGGAAGTCGATCTCCGAAGCGGAATCAGCCGATTTCGCGCCACGTCCGTCCGTCCGTCCCGGCGGCGTTATCGCTACGGCGAGTGCGCATGATGCAGGTACTTTATGTCTTTCCGTTCAATTTCCCACCCCACCTCCCCCCCGCCTTGCCCGATCGCCGGTCTGGATCCGTTGGCTCTTCTCGGCTGATCGGCGGTCCTGGACACACGGAGAGGCGGTGAGAGAGAGAGAGGGGGAAGGGGATGAACGATTCAGAAGGTGGACGCCTGGCCGGCGAGCGTCGTGGACGGCTGGTGCGTCGCCTCGGCGTTGCTCGAGCTCGTCTCCCGCCGCTCCGCCAGGCCGCAGCTGTCCTGCGTCGTGTTCCGCGGCGAGTCCCGCTGCAGAAGGCCACCCTGAAGCGTTACATCACTACTCACAGGAGAAGAATTTCGTGCTCTCGCGTTTCGCCGCACTCTGCGCTTCGATCTGTACGTTCGAGCCTTGCGCGCGTTCTCTGCAATCTATCAATCGGTGTTCTCTACTTTACTCACATCGCCATACGAGAGCGAGAACTCGCGGGGGAAAGACACTGAATTTCCTTTTCTTTTTTCCTTTTTCCGCGTACTACCACTGCAAACTACTACTGTGAACTGTATGTCGCTAATCAAGTCAGGCCGAAAGTACCGTTCGAAGGATGTCGTGTTTGGGATCTACGCGCTCACCTGGAGCAGCATGTTGGCGAAGTTGCTGTTGGTGAACTTGAAGTGCCGCTTGTCGTAGAATTTCAGCAGCGACGGGCTGTACGGGTGCTTCTCCTTGAGGTGAAGATAATGCACCTCCGGCTCGTGCGTGGTGTGTCCGCATTCCTCGCAAACGTAGACCTGTCGCGAAAACACGTCGACGTATTATTATACGTCAGATCGGCACGAATCACTCGTCGTTTGTCTTCTTATCGCGTCCTTTCGAGAACAGATGCCGACCACATGCGCTCGGGACGGATATGCCAAAACCCGACAGTCGACGACTTTGTTGAAACTCATCTCGAGCGAGATAGTGAAACTTTTCGGTTGAGTGACGGACCGATTTTAAATGAGAAATGTTAGAATGTAAATAATGTATTAGGTGATGCGAATACTTCGCCGTAAAAAGTGAAGATAATACAAGATAATAAAATATAATAAAATAATGATAAAGATAATAAGAGATAATAAAAAATATAATTACAATCCGGTTTTTTAATCGCTGAAAGAAACCCAAAAAAAAAGCAGTTTTTTGGGGAAAATTGGCTTTTTTGAGAAAAATCGCCTTTTTGCTACTTAAATATTATTACGTCGTTAAACTATTTTTTAAGCGTTATTTTAAGTTTAACTTTGATTTTTTCAATGTAATCATATGCCTCCCACGAAATTTTACAATTCTTCAATCGGCTTTGGAAAAAAAAATCGAGAAAATTCGTGGAAAAATGAAAAGAGAAAACGGTTTTTTCTGAATCTTCAAAAAAAAAAAACTATAATAAAAAATAATAGAGGTAATAAAATAAATGATAAAAGATAAAGTTGGACGATAAAAATAATTGAAGGAAACAAAACAAAAAAATAAAGATAATAAGAGATGATAATAAGATATTAAGTACGACGAAAAATGTTCAGTCCGTTTTCTCTTAAAAAATGCTGGCTTGGATTGGATGGAAAGTATTACCTTAGCGCGTCGTTCTTTATACGCGTACTGATGCTGCACGCCGTGAACCTTCACCCCGTGACTTTCCAGAGAGCACCTCTGCGTGAAGCTCTTCTCGCAGAGGTAGCACTTGTACGGCCGCACCCCCGTGTGCGTCCTCGTGTGCCTCTTAAGGTCGAAGGTGTCGTTGAAGCCCTTCCCGCAGAATGTGCACAGGTAGCGCTTCACATCGCTGTGACATTTCATGTGACGATTGAGCAGCCGCTGCAGGTTGAAGTTCTTGCTGCACACGCGGCAGGTGAAGACGTCGTCCTGTTAATGATCAAGAAAGCGTCGCAGGGGACGCGCGCCGTCAGGATGATGAAACGTCCCTTCGCGATGTCACTCGCGCGATCAGGGTTGGATAAGTTAATTAATTAATTAATTTTTTTTACTAAATCATAAGGCTCCCATAGGAGCCTATTCTGTAATTTTTAACGGCAGTTTCGTTATCGTTACGTTGTCGTTGCGCAGATATAACATATGGCAGAAAAGCTGCGCAATGAGCGCAGTCGTTAGGGCTGTCGTTAGGAAGCTACAGAATCGGACTATTTCCGCTTGGAGACTTGATGTAGAATTTAAAATTTCGACCCGATTTCGCAGCCAATGAAACGATCCGCAGCATCTGAAACTCAACTTGAGACGACCGCGAATATAAAAGGGGACTGTGAATACCGCTCTTGTACAGATGTCTGCGATTGTGCCCCGCTATTTTCACGCAACCTGAACGTTGATGAAATATTTCAACTTAACTAAGAAAAGTAAAAACCAAAGGAATAAACGAGTTATAGTTAACGCACAAAATGTAACTAAGCTTAAGGTAAAGGGGTAACTCACTCGAACTTGACTGAATTAAGTCGAAAGTTAGCCTCTTTGCCTTTAACTTCTTAATTTTTAACTTAACTTCTAATTGATTGGTAAGCATTACTCAACCCTGCTCGCGACATTGTCACTAAACGTGCGCAAAGTAAGCGTTACCTTGCCGGGTGGGGTCCGATTCGCTCTGTCCTCGTCCCGAGTGGCCGCCGCCTGCCTCTGACTCTCGACGGCTAAAGGATTCTTAATGCCGTGACCGCCGTTAACAAATTCTATCTGACAGTCATTCGGTAAACCAAGCTGTGAACCGATAAGAGGAGCCCCGTTAGACCTCACCGACCTCCCCGGCGTAGCCGGGACAGGACAACTGTGATGGCATCGGATTAAGCACTCAAATTGATTGACATTGCATAGTTCACGCGCGGGGAGAGTGGCGACGACTCGAGAATCGCAACCGCTCGACGTTAATTTAGAAGCGCGCAGCGGCCACTCTCCCTCTCTCTCTCTCTCTCTCTCCTTTCCTTTCTTCCTCTTTTTTCTTCGATCTCACGTTATTTTCTCGCATCAAACCGCTTCACGAGTTCGGTAGAGCGACTCGTTCGGACACACAACGAACGATTTACGACCTGAGATTAGCGAGCCAATCGCGAGCGGAACGCCTGAGCGGAGGAGTAAATTTTTCTCCCCGCTTGCACTCCGCTCCCGGTCTCGATTGAGAACGTCGCGAGACGAGGAGAATGTATGCCTTTGCCTGGATCAATTTGGGTTGCTTACCCTTTGCTGGAGTACACCGACCCGTTGCGAAAGCGGCGGCTCGCCGACCGGTCCCGCGGCTGCCTGAGTCCCGCTCACCACCGCCACCGGGCTGTGCGCGTGTTCCATCAGGGCGCACGACGGAGAGGTCCTCGTGGAGGCGCCGTCCAAGGAGCAACTGGTCGCACCGGGGCTCGGCAGGCTGCCACCCACGCTGCTGCTCGAGTCTAATTCTAAACCTTCAAGATTAGGCCGCGATGTTAGCGTTCGACGGCTTAACGGACCTTAGTATGCATGCGCGTGTGTAGGTGTGTGTGTGTGTGTGTTGACCCAAAAATTGTACCGAATTATTATACAATGTTTAATTTAATCATTGTAATTATTATTATTATTATTATTAATCGTTATTGTATAAATGAAAATTTCATTATTGCAATTATTATTTACATTGTGTAATCATTATACAATGTGCAAGTTAATGCAAATTGTAATTATTATCTGTATCGTATAATTATTATGCGATACAGATTATTTTATCTCAGACGCATTATCGTCGTTCAAAGCCATCCTCGGAAAGATATGAACGCGTGAGAAGTGCGATCGATCGAATAATCGCGCGAATCCGAAGAAGCTCAGGCTGACTAACGTAAAGATATCACATTGGAATCAAAGACGAAGGAAAAATTGGACAAGGTTCTGAAAATATATAATCAACGTAGAAGTATGAAGAAAATGAAGATGAGGGTCAACGCTGGTCTTACAGCGATCGAGTGAGAAACAAAGGAATTATAAATTATTCATATTTATGTTATACTCAGACGTTTCGGTTTTATTATCTTGATCATCTCAGCGTCATAAAAATTAAATAGTAAAATATTCACATTTAAAACATAAAAATTAAGTAGTAAAACGGTCAAATTTAACACGGGTAGCGCATGCGTAGGTTAAATAAAAGAAAAGGAACGTGAAGAAATTCGAAATTCAGTTGCGCGAATCGAGTTCTTTTTTCCGTGTGTGTCTCGTATTCGAATCCTCTCGAAGAGAATTTCCGCCGAGACGTGCAAGATAGGATCGACGTGCGGTCCATTAAGCCGTCAGGTGTTACATTGTTTCTTCATAAGACTAACGTATTTCTTCACACCTCGAGATTAACCCTTTCGACCCCATTTTAAATAAGTATCTGATATCATCTTCGGGAAGAGACATTTTCATACATTTCCTTTGTATAAGAGCGCTCGTAAACTTGGCGTTTCTTCAACCATTTTTTCAGCTTACTTTCCTGCATGCAACAACACACACACACACACACGTGAACGAAATCTGAAATCCTTCCGACAAGAAGTGGGACCGAAAAGGTTAAAGCTCTCGCGTTCCGATAACCGTTCGAGAGAAGATTATCAGACAACGATAACGGACTTACCGTTGCCGGTGAAACTCAGGCCGGGGCTGAGGAGCGCCTGATGTTGCTGTTGCTGCTGCTGCTGCTGTTGCTGATGCGGCGACATAGCGGTCTGCTGCTTCTGCTGCTGCTGAAGCTGCACCTGAATCTGCAACTGCTGGTCCTGCTGGTGCTGGTGATTCTGATTGATATGCAGCGCCAGCTCCGGCCGTTCCTTCGAGAGCGGCTGGTAATTCGGCTCGCCGCTCGCGTAGCTCAGCCCGAGCTTGGACGCGTTGTAGTGTTGCGGAGTGGTGTAGTGTCTGAAAGAGGGATCGCGAGCCATCAGCACGCGACAGGAACGGCTTCACGGTCGGCCGGCTCGTTCACGCGAGCGGATGAAAGCGACGGGCGGCTCTCGCCGAAGCGGGTTCTCACGGCGCGCTTACTTACCTCGTGTCAAAGCCTCTGGTCAAGGCCATGCTGTGCTCGGGGAAAGGATCGACGCTGGGCTCGACGGGAGTGGTCATCTGACCGGCGTCTTGGCCGATCCCGCTGCTGCCGGTCGAGCCGGGCGAGTGCAGAGGGTCCTCCAGGAGATCGCTGCCGCCGTCCTCGGCTTGCAGCCGAGGCAGCAAGAGGTCAGCGTCGCTCAGGCTTTCCAGCAGAGCCGTGTGATCGGAGGACGGGTTGAAGGTGAGGGTGGCGGTGAGCTGGAGCGGATCCACCACCGCGCCGGTCACCATGTCCACCATGATGCTCGAGTCGGATACGTCGTACGGGCCGTACTGGCCGGACAGCAGGTCGTTGGACTGCATCTTGTAGGCCGCCAGCTCCTCCTGTTCCTCCTTGAAGGTCAGACCGTACGAGGCGCAGACGTTCTGTAGCAGGGAGTACTGCTTGCCCTCCTGCGCGCTGTACTGCACGTGCTGGGAGTTTACGTCCTGCTGGCCGATGTCGCATTCTATTCCGACCGCCGGCAGCGGCGTGATATACGTGTTTCCTGAAACCACTTCTAGATTCTAGAACGCGCTCTCCCCGGGCCCGCGAGGAGAGAATCGCGATGTGCAATCTTGTTAGAAAGGATCTTTATTTTGACCTTCGACTCGCCAAGGTGTGTCGCGCATGATCGTAATATTTGACGAAATAAATGAAATGAAACAATATAATAAGAGGAAAAAAAAAAATGAAGGGAAATGATTATCATATGTTACTCAACTATTATAATGCCTCTCAAAACTTACGATCGACGCTTTCAAATCACCATAGAGCGGTAAAAAGATTTAAACTCGCACCGGGGTCACAAGATGTTGAATGTAAAGGCACCGAATTAATTTGCACGTCTAAATCACGAATTAAAATAAAATAAAACGCAACGAAGTGAAATAAAGCAAAGCGACAGGAAACTAAACGAAATATTAATGAAGTGAAATAAAATACAGAAGAAGAAGAAGAGAGACGAGACCGAGTCCCGTTGAAAGTTGCTTTTCCCGTTACCGCGCAGTAATGAACGCATTAATAACATCAACAAGAGAGACGTGGGGCGCGGCGCACACTCACCCTGCGCGCTGTTGTACTGATTGGCGAAGTTGGCGAGATTGTTCCCGATCTTCAAGGACTCGTAGAAGGGCGGCAGGGAGCCGGTCGGCGGCGAGCTTGGCCCGTAATTGCCGCGACCCCCGTTACCACCGGGATTCATGCCACCCGCGCCAGCACCGCCGCCGACGGCACCGCCGCCTCCGCCGCCGCCGCCGCTACCGCCGCCGCAACCACCCGCCATCGCTCCGCCGCCGCCTCCACCACCGCCGCCACAGTAACTTCCGCTACCACCGCCGCTGCTTGAGGAAGAGGAACCGCCGCCGCCGCCGCCGCCGCTGCTGGAACCGCCGCCGCCGCCGCCGCTGGAAGAGCCGCTGTTGCCCGAGTTGGAGGATCTGCCGTGGCCCGCGGCCGCCTGCACGACCTGCGACCCGGGTAGTTGCACGCTCAACAGAGGCCTGGCGATCGAGCCGCCGACCGGGCGAGACGCTTTCGCGCCCTCGCGACACTCCTCGTCGACCTCGTCCTCTCGCTTCCTCTTCTTCGGCACCGCGTAGTCAATCGGATGCTCCTGGAAGTTTGTCCGCGTCATTTTCCGCTGCCTCCGTCGCGAAACGCGAACGAGCACCTATCTCGGGCGACTGCGCTTTTGCTCTTACATAGCATAGACAGATGTCTAAAATATCTCTTGGAGATGTCTAAAAGACGTCCGAAACATGTAGGAGATCCTTCGGACGCCTCTAAGGCGTCCCTAAAGTTAGCCGTAACGCAAAATGAATTTTTTTTCAGAATTCGTTGAAACTTGCACCATGTATGGATTTAAACGCGACCTAATTATTAGGCGCAATTAGAAAACGATTAATCATTTGAAAGCCGTAAGCTCTCTCTCTCTCTCTCTCTCTGACAATTAAAAAATAACTCAATAATTCTGCTGAAATCAGAATTCCTGACGCGCGTCACGTACCTGTTCCGGTTCGGGATTCGGTATCTCCAGCTTGCTCTCGTTCTCCGGGACTTCCTTCGGCGGGACGTCTTTCGGGGCATCCTGCGGAACGTCCTTCGGGACAGCGGATTCCCCCTTGGTCGGGACCCTCTTGATCACCGACACCCTCCTGAGTGGCTCGGCCTGCGGGATCTTCGGCGGCGTCTGCGGCCTCGGCAGTATTACCTTGTCGGGCTGCGAGAGGAACCGCGGCGGAACGCTCGTAGTCGCAGGCGCAATCGGCGGACTACTGTACTCCTTGCGCTCCGCCCGTGTCAACACGTGACCCCGGCTGCCGTAGGGCACGTCGCCGCCGAGGAAGCTCGAGATGAATCTGGGCCGAGTGGTGCCGCTCGACGGACTCGCAGCCGGTTGCAACGATTGCGGCGTCGACGGCGGCGACGACAACGCCGGGCTCGCGCTTCGCAGTAATTCCGGGGTCGACGCACGGTCATAGTCGTTCTTGTCACGATCCGCTGTCGAGCAAAATATAGAGATTTTAGTTCCTTTCTTTCCTGCTGGCGATACACGGCTCGCGAACTCGCGGGGTCCGAGCGGGAAGCTGAGGCTCGATTGTGTGTATTAAATGTGAGAAGGGTTTCCCTTCGGATTCGTAGTTCTTAAGCTCGAAGCTCTTGAGAGATCCATCAAATCACGCAACATGTTCCGTTAAAATCCATAATAACGAGAGATTCTAACGTTGGCCGAGAAACGAAAACAGACGAGAAGATCCCTCTTTTGCTCGTCCGTAGAAATGCACTCCGTCTATGCTAAATAAAGAAGACCAATTAAGAAGCAGGAGGGAATTTCATATCATTGTGCTACATGCAAAGGCACTCCGGGGGAAAATGTAAGTCCGCCGAATAGTGATTCCCGCATTCGCGACGTGTGTGTGTGCGTGTTACATGTACACACGAGACGACTTCTATGAATTATCGTTCAACACGGAGCACATTAACGTACGTACAGCGACAGAGGATCTTCGCGCTAGGATTCGAACGAGCTTCCCTCGTTTTTTCGAGATTCGCACGACTTCGCGGATCGCGCATTTGCATTCGACGAACGACGGTCGGCCGGCCAGCTTAGAGGTGATGGGAATCGAATCTAAATGCCGAGAGAATTACGACGAGGGCGCACCGGCGCATACATAATGCACGGCGCACACAGTCATAACCATTTCGCGGCGGCGGTTGGCCCGCTCCCGGTGCCTGAATTTACGAGCAACCTTGAGGATTCGCAGGTACCGTATGCCGACTACGGGCGGACTCTCTTTCGCTCCGTACGTTCGCGCGTCCTTCGCGCGTACGTGATCTGACCCGTCGCTCTCTTCTCTTTCTCGATTCTCCCAGCGGCCGCAATGCCTGCGAATCCGTGAACGTTGCGTCGCTCCCCCGCGAAATTTCTCTCGGGATCTAATAATAAATCCGGGAATTTCTCGGAATTACCGATTTCTCGAAATAAATCGATGGCTTCCGCTCGGGAAGTCTCCACGCTCGCGGCTCAAGTCGCGGCTGGAAGTGTAACGTTTCGAACGTACGATCCTAAGTAGGAGATGTAAACAGATTCTATTTGGTCAACGGTCTCGCAGAGATTTTCCCCGGTTTCTATTTGATACTGTGAGAGATCGAGCGAAATATACGAAACATTTTAAGCACTCACAATCTACATGTACACACAACGCTGTTACGGGCGCGCTGTTGTACGGCGAAAAGATGGTGTGTTAATAACGGTTCGCTGAAACTTTTGTATTGCTTTAACAAGGTGAACATGTTAATTTAACGGCAAACTTAAATGTGTAATGTTTACACACTTATGTGTGTAAAACCACAATATGATACATAATATAACGTGCATACAAATGTATAAAAAATGACGTTTAAAATTATACACTTGGATTTCCAGTGTACACTCGTGAATGAGAGTTCTCGATAGTAACTATTGTTGGAAAGTAATTATCTGAAATTAATTAAAATTTAATTCGATTGAAAAACAAGCAAAGATTAATCGACGTTCAATGACTTTGATTTTAAGCGGAGAGTATCGTCGCTCGTCGGCGGCTTTGTCCGTTGCCGATTGATACGAATAATTTTGCTTTTTACGTAGTTTCTTTCGTATCTCGCGGCATATCGGCGGCACGTTGCTATTTTTATCGCGATTCTATCCGAGGTCCGTTGCTCGGACACACGGTGCATGCAGATAGCTGACGCTATCTTGACTTTGACATCGAACGCTTTTCGCCGATGGAGCACGAGGACACCATGTGTGTGTGTGTGTATGTGTGTGGGTGTCGCGCAATCATGTTGTTGGAGCGACAACCAGGAAACTAACTAGCGAGGACGCGGAGTTTTACTGAGGTCATGTCCATTATGCGGAATACAATAGTGTCGTTGGAAGGAAAGATCGCGTGGTCTGCAGGATACTTACCGGTATTATATACTTCGCCCTTTTGCCGACGTGTACAGTCAGTATCGTGTGAGTAGCAGAGAATCTACCAAGCATTATTCCCGATTAATATTTCTGAAGGTTGTATCACCGAAGAGAAGCAACGTCTCGACGCTACAAGGACGTCATCGAGAAAATCTCTCTCTCTCTCTTTCTCTTTCTCTCTGTTTCTTGGAGTAGAATTCTCACTCCAGACGAGTGAAAATTCACTTGTTGCGATAGTGAAGATACGGTCACTCGGAAGATACTGTCACTTGTAGAAGATTTCCTCGAGCTTCGAGTGGATTTTGACTCCGAACGAGTGAAGGTCTCCAACCTGTCAGAGTGAATTTGTTCCCATGACCGAGGAACATGTCAGATTCACCGTTCGATTTCGAATGAAAATGCTATTCACTCGGCGATTCGTGCTTTTCCAAAACGATCATCGATAAAGTAACATTTCATATTTACATTTATATTTTATATTTTATATTCACATTTTATACATACATTATACACTTTTTCAAGCCATCAAAATTTACGACACCAAAATCAAGACCCGTACGTGCCCAACTACCGAATTGATTAATAAAGTAACGACGCGGACGACGTGTGTTGGGGGCGCACCGAGAGGGGTCCCGTTGGACGCACCGAGGAGAAAACGTCTCGGACGTTCTCAACGAGGGGTTTTCATCTCGTCCCTGAATCGGGCCCGAATAATGCCGGCCGCTCGGCGATCCCCCGACCTCGAAATGCACGAGTTCAACGAGGATGTGTCGTCTAAAGACATCTTGACGCAATCGCTTGCGTCACACTAGCCGGAGGACCCTGAAGGTAACATACCGCCGGGCGAAGAAGTCGAGTCGCACCAAAATGGCGGTTCCGTTGGTTGGGCAACCTTCGGCATCGCGGCGAAGAGAACCGCCGCGGCATGCGTGTGAGTTCCTCTAACCAAATCCCCCTAACAGGTTCGGCCGCGCTATAAATACCTGCGCGAACGCCGTGACCAGAGTACCGATGTGTACCGCCTTTGCCTATCTTCGGCTCTCTCTCTCTCTCTCTCTCTCTCTCTCTCTCTCTCTCTCTCTCTCTCTCTCTTTCATCCTGTCTCGCCGTCTCGCTCGTTCTCCTCCCCCTCTCCCGCTGCCCGGATCCTTCCCGCGTTCACCACCGTTCCCGCCGCCGCTCTTTCTCATTTCTCCTCGTCGTTTCGCCTCTCCTGCTTCCCCCCGGACGGAGGGAGAGAGCGAGAAAACGAAATGAGAACCGGTACTTCGAGTCGGAATGGAGAGGAACGGGCTTGTTCTCGCGGAGCGAGGAAGAGGAGAACGGGGAGGAGAGATCGAGGAGGGTCGGAACGGCGAGGAAATCCCGGTAAATCGGAAACCTGAAGTGCGCCGAGCGCGGCTCGAGAGCTCGATTTTACGTGCACCGCGCGACGACGAATTCACCTGTTGCGTTCCTCCCAGTTGTGTCTCTTTAATTTAGATCATTGCAGCCGGGGGAATTATTGGGGGGATCGCCTTCGTTCTTTTAACAGAACGAGACGCACTGAGAAAAAATATTTATTGCTTGTAACCATATTCGCATAAGTGAAAGATTCGTAGTCAAGAAAGAGAGAGAGAGAGAGAGAGAGAGAGGGATTTTTCTAGTAAGCGATACAGCATCAGTGATAATAAGTGTATGCATATTGTTGCTATTGCTTTTGGGTTAAAATTAAATAAGGATATAGTTGAGGCCGAAGGTGACTACAATTTTTGTGAGATTTCCCTCGATGCGAATTCCTCTCCGTTTCCTCTTTGCTATCAAAGCTACGAGGAACGAACGATCGTCCTGTTAAGACGAAGTACGAAGTCACAAATCGAATCTAAACGTGCGTTCGGCTCTAATCGATCTCTCGCTCGCGACTCCATGATATGATATTTGAGAATCGTTGGATGTAAGATTTGTTCGCGATCACAAAAGATGCAAGAGGCGCGCGAGTGTCGCCGAGAATCCGACGGAGTCAATTCGATTCTCCGGGAACGAGCGACGATGGCAGCCGAGGAGACGGACGGAGGAGAAAGAGGGTCGGGACGAGTCCGCTCGGGGTATAAAGTGACGGCGAGGAGCGGAGCGGAGATGATCAATGCCCGGCTCTCGATATGACCGCTGAATTCTCACAATTCCCAATGTAAAACCCGGGAGCGCGCGTGCTGGAACGAGCTGGCCGGGTATACACTTCCTGATGCGAGGCCTCGAGGTCGTTGCCACCGCGACTGGACGCTCGTCGAATCTATGGCCCGCGTTTCGCGCGACTTCTGCGTCATTCTGGCCCGTATTCACGCGCGTCACGCACTCCGCGTGTCCCGATCGGCGCATCCTGAAACGCGAAAAGCGCCGACGACGCGCCGACGTGCGTTCGGAACACGTCGAGAGGAAAATTTCCACACGTTCAGCGGCGTACTCTCTGAGAACGATGGAGTGCCCGATCAAATTTGATTTTGCGCTAATTCATGCTCGACCGAAAATTAATTCTTTATGATTTTACCACGTTTCCTTACGACGGAAATAGACAAAATCGGTAGAATTTATTTTGCCAGGGAGGAATTTTAATAAGTGATACATTTAAAATAAAAATAAGACGTAGACGTAATACATAAATAATATATTTAAAATAAAAATAAATACATTTTTTTAATAGTAGACTTTGTCTCGTTCTTGAAATCTAAATATCGCATATGAGACAAAAGACGTTAAACCTAGGCGAAATTTCGATATATTCCACGGTTCTAAAATTACATAGTAATTTTGACTACAAAATTTTTCCGCACGGAACCATCTTATGGGGACGCACGTTAAACCGGGTTTGATATTAAACGAAGCCGTCTGACTGCAAATTTCATTTTTCCACACGAACGCGTCATGTGACGTTCGTGCGAGAATAAAGAAGCAATTTAGCCGGTATTCGCGTCGTTGAGCGTCGTTAAGCTTGAAAAATATGATCCGCGGTTCGCGATTTCAAAAACATCGAAATTATTTATTACCGTTATTATTACTAAAACGTTACTTATTC